AAAGAGAGTGGAGGAATGCTTCTCATTTTACAGAACGGAAAACTGGGTTACCCAAGTCACCCAGTAAGTCAAGGGCAGATTGAGACTTGAATCCCATTCTGCTAGTCAGAAGATGGGGTGAGGTGACCCACCAAACCCCATTTCAAGGGCAGGGTTTCTTTTATCTACATGTGTCCTCTGCATTTCGAGGGAAACTGAGGTGTGGGGATTGGAAAGTGCTGAGTAGGAGTGGAACAGATTTAGAAACACTAGGTTTGGGTGTCTTTGGAATATGGTCAAGAGTCTCAGGCTGGATTCTTCTGCATCCAAGCCTCTGCACAGGTGGGTCTTTCCTTGGGGCAGTAAACATTTTTGGGGGGCCTGCTACATTCCAGGCACCTTTGTTATGGACCTCACAGACACCTGCTGGTCCAGTAAGGAAGGTTTTATCGCCATCCCCTCCATGGCTGAAGGCACAGGGTCCAAGTCAGCGTTTCCAGTCACCAAGCAGTTGTACCTACGCCGCACTGCCTCACTTCCAGGGGATGGGGGGGTGGCGGTGATGGCAGTGCCACCTGATGGTTCAGAGCACCTGCTTTGGGGTAGATCCTACTTCGAATCCCCGCTCAGCCACCTGTGTGTCCCACAGAAGTCATGTAACCCCTTTTGTGCAGTGAAACGAGAATAAAGATGCCTGTCTCCTAGGGCCTTTGGTAGAACTCAAAGAACACGCACACACACACACACACACACACACATACACATATACTAAGTCCTGCCAGGGAGAGGGGCCGAGACAGAAGTGCGTGTGATTGTCTCCCCCACCCCACCCCGTGAAGGGCACCAGGTCCTCCAAACTCGCGGACAGATGTGCTTCCTAGGTGTGAAATTCAGGAAGGGCCTGGACTAGGGCAGGGTGACCCTGAGGACACCAGGGTGCAGGAAGTGGCTGAGCTAAAGAAGCAATGGGCCGTTTTGGCCAAGAGGAGGACAGGGAGAGACCCGGGTCCGGAGTTGGGGAAAAGGAGGGGGCAGCGGTTGTGCGCCCCAGAGGAACTTCCTGTGTCTGTCCCCGGGCTGGCACCCAGGAAGCCCCGCGCGAGGGCCCCTGTAGTGCTCTGCCCGGACGCTGGGTTCTCCAGGAGAGATGCTGCTAAAATGTTTGCGGAGGGCAGTAAGGTCTGCGAGCCCAATCCGTCGCGGCTCCCGGTTCTCGGCGGGCCTGTATGGCAGTGGGTTCAGGCTGGTTGTGTCTTACGGGAGTTGGGGTTCTGGGGTGCGCCTGGCACATGCCGGGCGGGAGGCTGCAGAGGCCGACAGCTGTTTCGCTGGAGCTTCCGAGGGCGCCCACGGGAAGCGGGTGTCCTTCCCGCTTGCCTGCTGGGGCTAGCCGGGAGCCGGAGGATGGGGGGGGCAGTGCAGGCGAGCCGCTGGGCTTGACCTTGACCGTTGCGCGCCGCCGGCCTCGGGCGCGCTGCCGGGCAACGGCGCGCTCCCCGCCCTCCCGCGCAGGCTGGCGCGGAATCCCGGGCGGATCCAGGCCGGGTTTTGCAGCAGCGCTGTCGGGCCGCGCGTGCTGACTCTTCATCTGTCTCTCTCGGCAGCAATCGGCGGCGGGAGATCATGGTGCTGGGCTCGG